CCGCCGCTCATACAGAGGTGGCTGTGTTTGCGGAGCAGGTACGCCGCGGCATCAGCAGCGCAGTGGTTCTGGCCGACAACAGGTGGACCGCCACTTCAATGCTCTCGGGTGAGACCTCTCTCCCCTGGCCCTCACGCCGCACGACCACACACCATGGTCGCGCCCCCCCTTAGGTCTGCACCTTTGCTGTGTTGATGAGCACCCCTCAGTCGCCCTGTGTGCCAGTGTTGGGCCGCTGGCCCTCTGACGCCTTGTTCGCTTTGCAGCAAGCCTGGCTGAGCCTGCCCTGCTGCCCGCTTGCCTGGCGCTGCACCTGAGCCTGTTTCTCCCGTCTTACGGATCCCAACCCAGGCACAACGATGACGCTGGTGATCGTCAGCGGGTGGCTGGTGACTGTGGCCAACACGGGTGACAGCAGTGCTGTGCTGGACTCTGGTGACCACATCAGCGAGATCACGTTCAGCCACAGGATACAGGTGGGAGGCGCCCGCCGGGCGCATAGGCGTGCATGGTACTTGTGCACACTATCATGGGGCTGTGATGCATGTGAGCTTGTGCGTACGTGCATGCGTGCATGGCGGCGTGTGTGTGATGTTGTGAGGGTGTGCGCGGCAGGCAGGTGCGCAGGCGCGTGCGTGTGAGCGCGACTGCTTGCGCATCAATACCGGGTGCCCTCCTATAGGTGCTTGCACCTTAAACCACCGCGCGCTGCTGTGTGCGGCGGCTGACACGAAAGTATGTGTGTGTGTGTGTGTGTGTGTGCTGGAGGGTTGTTTGGCAGATCAGGCTGTATGCTGAGGCTGCTCACCTTGCCAGGTCTGTCATCCTCGCGCGCCCGGCCTCCCTTGCCCCTGCCAACAACCCAGGGCTGCCCCAGCGAGCAGGCGCGCCTGAGAGCAGGGGGCGGCACCCTGGCGCCCCTGGGCTTCCACCTGCAGGGCCCGGCCAAGCCCAAGGAGATGGGGGTGGGGCCCTTGCGCCTGTGGCCGGGCGGCCTCTGCGTCAGCCGCAGCATCGGGGACCTGGACACAGGGCCGCTGGTCGTGCCGCTGCCGCATGTACGCCAGGTGAGACCGCGTTCGCACAGAGCCAGTGACAGCCACGCCCAGTGTGTTGCGCAAGGGCGGAAGGGGTTTGCGCAAAGCAGGAAGCCGCCTGAGGAATCACCTGCTCAGCCCCCATTTTTGGCCACATCCACTTTCGTCATCATTCCTTCCTTGTGGCATGCTGACCGCCCTCCGCACCTCGTCCCCCTCACTTGCTGTGCCCAGCTGCTGGTGCCCCGAGACAGGGCCCTGCGGCTGGTGATCGCGTCTGACGGGCTCTGGGACCTCATGCCTTTCGACAAGTGTGCCAAAGCCCTGCGCAACAAGATGCCAGCAGAGGTGAGTGTGAAGGGCGGCGGCACTCACGCAAGCATCCTGAAAGAATACGCACATTCACATGCATGCTCAGCCAGCGGCAGCGCTGGTGCTCACGTACTTGCTCCTCACTGCCTGCTGGCCTTGAACCCCCCCCCCCCCCCCCCCCCCC